AGCCTGTATGTATTTTTTTGTATGTCATCGAGAGTATTTAAATGATTTTCAATCAGGAAAAAAATGTGTGATTAAAATGCGATTAATCGCGAGTTAACTCAGGCATTGATGCGATTAATCGCGATTAAAAAAATTTAATCGATTGACAGCACTAATATATATTATACATTACATATCTATATTTTCTTATTTATTAACTCTACAATATTAAATAATAAATTGATTCTGGAATATCCAGATAACAGTATTTTTTAAGCAGTGAGGCAAACCTTCTTACTTTGGCCAATTTACCCCCGTTAATCTGTGAGCTTGAGGCAACGGTCTTTACTGCCTCTGTTATTATAAACTGCTGTGCGTACACTTTGTGATCATGGGTCAGATTGGACTTAAATGGGGATAACTGCAGGTAACGGGTCGGGTCTCATTCCAGGGTTTATACAGGAAGGAGGAACTCTAATTTAATGCTTTTTAATGCTCTTAGAAATAATTTTAATGCCATCAATAAGTACCCATTACTCTCATGTATAAACACGGCCAAATCCTTCGTAATCTTTAACATCGACAGGCTGCAGCCATGTCCCGAATTTCTCGTTTCCAGCCACTTATGTTAAAATGTATATTTTCCCATTCTCTAGCTTTTTCTGTGCCTCGAGCTTCTGTTCCGAACATACGGCTTTGGGCTCAACCAGGAGCAGTTCCATGCAAACACGTGGAACCAGTTAAATCTGATATATTTGACAAATTTTTTTTTTAATAAAGCATTTTAAATGCCATGATAATCACATTTAATGAATTTTAATGTCAATGAAGGCCTTAATTTAAAAAATAATAATTTAATGACTTTTAGTGATTTTTAATGACCCGCAGAAACTCTGCAATCCTAATGTCTACGGCTGCGGGCGGATAGAGTTTTAAAAAATCTGACCCGTGCAGGACTCTGCAAAAGCTTCCTTAAAGAGGATTTCACGCAGAATAAAAAAAGAAAAGGTGAAGCTAAAACTGATCCACATACAGTATACATAATATTTATTTATTGTCACAAAAAATGTGCTTTAGCTAGGACAACAGGTGTTGGGTGCTATGACCATGAGGACCAAATTAGTAAATTAATCATAATTTTTTTAATTCAAAAATAAAATTCCTTATGATCTGCATTAAACTGTGTCTGTCTTCCCTCTCTCTCTCTCTTTCTCTCTCTGAGATCTTGCTATACTTTGTAATTCAAACAGACTTGGGGATGTTTTACTCCAAAACAGTAGATCTTCTGTAGATGATCCATAAAAAGCCCAACAATAAAATATTTACACTAATATAGTCCATTGAATTGTAAAATGAAATCTGCAGAGAAATATTGAGCACTTTCATCCCTTGGATCAGCAGAGTTCAGCTACTTTATCAAGGTGGTGGTTGTGAGAAAGTTTAAGGCGTTTCTCCTCCATTAACAATTAAACAGCCTCACTTATTCTATTATGATTAAGGTACAGTATTATATAAGGTGAGGTATTAAGGTACATGAATAGAGTAGTCTGTTAACCAGAGTTTTTCCTGGTTTACGGTCAAACATGGGGAACAAACCCTGTCAATCACTTTAATCATCATATCCTTTAAAGTAAAAAGGCATGTCTGTAAGGTTCCAAATACTTCTTAACCTCGATAAATCATGTATGAAAATATCATTATGTAAAAATTCACGTAATCGTTTCCAAGAGCTTATCACCTGCTGAGCTGATTACATTGATAAAAATTAACAACCAGATATAAAGCTGATATCTGAAAGAGAATTGTTAGATTACTTAAACTTTATGGGTAAAAAGGCTCCAGATATATTTTTATTTCCAGTTCTAAGGGATAAGGACTCTTTTTTTGTGTTTATTCTGAGCCATTGAGAGCAGTAGTATATTTCTGCTCTGACTTTTCTTCACCCTGTCAACCCATTACCTCTAAGTGCGACACCGAAGCTGGCAGGGAGTCTTTTTCTATGTAAACAGGGGAACTACAAATGTCAGTGTGCACTACCTCCTGCTGTGATTATTATAGGAACAATACGCTCACATAAAATACCCGCAGCCTTTCTGATTTTAGGTTAGTTTCGTGTTCAGGTGATGTTTTGATGGAAAAGAGACAGTAAGAAAACAAAAAAGAGAAAGAAACAGTAAAGACTTGCAGTAACTTACTGTCTTATCAGCAAGACTTTAGTGTGAGAATATTGATAAAAGAGAAGGGGTAAGTAAGTTAACCTCTTAAAACCCAACTAATTTGAAGTAATCCTCGTCTATTTTGTATGCCGAATGGGAAATATACATCATTTGAAAGCTAATACCTTCTAGTTTCTGAAAACATAAGGAGGTGATTTTGAGTGAGAAGCTGGGTGAGTAAAACACAGCCTAAGCTGCATCAGTTCAAACATGACTCAAAGTTGTTTTTTTTTCTTCTCAAAAATAATTTTTGAACAGCAGCAATAAAAACATGTTTGAGAATAGGCATGTCTCATTTATTACATTTCGTCGACATCATGTTAACCACAAATGCAGAAAATTTCAGACCTCTAGCTACAACGGTTCCAGAGCTGTGGGGCTTTGAACGTTTGGTGTCACCAGCGTCTCCAAATCTCTCCAAATGTGCCCAATTGAGCCAAAATATACCAAATGCTTTTAATCAACTATTTCACCCATTGAATAACACTGAAGCATTTTGATGACATTTATGAATCAAGTATTTTTCCACTTTTTTTTCCCCCCGAATCAGCGTATATAACAAAATGTAATATTTATAAACCTAAAATAACATAAAAACCTGCCAGAAAAAAAATGTGTGAAACTGCTGCTTTTCAAGCTAAAATAAGCCCCAGTGCCTTTTCTGAGCTGTATTTTTGTTTTTTTCTGACTTAGTCATTGTAATAAAACAAAATGAGCATCCAAACTTCAAAAAGAGGTGGGCTTTGAGAGGCTAAGAACTCTTACTGTGATTGGTTGCAATAACTTCAAATAATCTATCAAGAAACTGTCAAAGACACTTGTTATATAAACAGACTTTAACCTTACTGTACATGCATTTTTTAAGTGGTGTGCGCATCATTGTTTTTATTTTTCTGAAGAACCTTGTGATGTAAAACACAGCCCAATATGTTTTAAGATGTGTCCATATTAGTAGGAGCAACCTAAGATCTCCAGAGACCAGAGGGAAAAGTTTGGTGTTGGCAAACTATTTATATATCCTGGAGATTGGCCATGTAGTGCTTTCTTAGTATATATATATATATATTTCTAAATGTATCTCATACTTTAGAGTGAGCCGGTGCCTTCTGAACTGCTTGAAGCTGATTTAGAGCTGATTTGGTAAGAGAGTAAAAACAAAGACAAAGGAGACAAGCCAAAAGCACAAACCACAATTTGTAATTTCTGATTTCACACTAATGATGTTCGCTTAAAATGTTTCTCGTGTGATAAAAAAAAATAAATAAATCCACACCAGTTTTCCGAATTGATGCTAAAATGATAACAAACTATCAAAAATGAAACCTATCTTTCCTAAACAGTTTGGGTAGAGAGAGCCCAAAAAGTGAGATATTTTGTTCACATTTAGTTACAAGTAGGTGTCCTAAAGGTCAGATAGTTAATAAATCTCTAACAATGTCAAAGAAAAATATAGCTGAATATCATCAGCATACAGATAAAAAAAAACATCCTTGTAGAGCTTTATGATCGGACACAATGGAAAATGTGCAATAAGAGAATAGGCCTAATACAGATCTTTAAGATACGCCACAAGGCAAAAATATCAGAATCAGAAAGAGCCTGATTTTCACAAACTTAAAAAGACCTTTCTGAGAACATCACTGGAATGACTGCAACCATTTTAAACCAAACAAAACACTAAGTCTTTTTATCAGTATAGTTTATCATTATAGCCATTAGCATGTCATTGTTGATTTTAACCAAGCCATTTCTGTGGATTCAATGTACACAAAATAGTAATGGTTTTTGTTTTTCTCCACAAAGTAATTTAATAGAACAGCTACAGTCTTTTCCAGAAGCGTTGATAGAGATATAAATCTGAGATGGGTCTGTAGCCGTTTGGAAGAGATGGATCAAAGTGTGGTTTCCTAATTGGTGGAGTAATAACAGATTGTTTAAAAACACAGACTATCGCTTCAAAGAGAGCGATTAATTATGTCGACAACACAGGGGCCGAGACATTCCGATACATCCTTAGAAAATCTGTTACAAAGGTTACTGTAAACCTTTCATTTTTGTACATTTTGTCGAGCCCAAACTATAAACATTGCTATATCTTATTTAGAGTTTTGTCCATTTTCTTAGAAGAAAACTGTTATAAACGGAAACTGATGACTGAATAAAATGTAAATAACTTCATGAATACTGAACGTGCAACCTATCACAACATAGAAAAGTTCCCCGTTCTCTTCACAGACTCAGAGCGGACATAAGAAAGTAGGTTGATAGAAATAAAAAATATAATATTTTGCAGGGCTTTGGAACTAACTACTGCTTCTCTGATCAAAGCTCTACCAGCCAGCCGGTCTCAATAGGTGGTCGGCCATGTTTTAGCTTTGCAGTTGGACTTCCATCGTTGGATGATTGATGAATCTCTGTGAGATCAAAGCTTGGAGTATTGTTTTCAAAACCTATAAACGCATTATATCTCTCAACTTTCTCCCTGCCCTCTACGGTGTTTCCTTCAGTCTCCATGATGCTGTTTGCTTATTATGTTCCCTAACAAACCTTGAAGAACTTCACAGAACAGCTGAATTTACAAACTAAACAACAAAAGACTCCATTTACTAGTGACGTCTGAAAACAACAGACTGCGCTGGTTTCCACAACAGAAACTGGAGGCATTTTCTGACACCAAAGTCACTGAACATAGTAGTTTTATATTGACCAAATGTAAAAAACTCAATGGGCATGGAGGCTTATGCAAGGAACCCCGAAAAGATTCCTTATCTTCACTTTTCAGGTAGAGTTAACTTTGTTCCTTACCAAGGCTTGTCGGCTTGATGAGTTCATCAAGCAGGTCGTAGAACGGCAGCCTCTGGAGCTTGACGTCTGGGTGGACCGGGTGCAGCGTGGCCGAGGTGGGCAGGTGGTGCGCCAGCCCGGTCAGCTCGTGCTTGCCAGGCCCGAGCAACGAGAGGGGCAGTAAGGCGGCGGGGGACGAAGCGCCGCCGTGTCCGGCATGGCCCTCATACGCCAGCTGCGTCAGGCCAGCGGGCAGCGCCGCCCCGCCTCCTGCCACCACTCCGACTGAGGCCGGATGATGCGGCCCAGTCAGCGCCAGCTCTGAGTGGGATATCATTTTGGCAGGGAAGCGTCTTCGGTAGAGCTCTTTGATTTTCATGTGCACAGCGGGACTGCAGCCGGATTTCAGCAGATGGAGCGCCTTGGTCAGCAGCTCGTGCTTGCGTCCATGTTTGTTGCGCCCAGCGTAGCCTAGCAGTACCTGCAGCTCCGACACCCGTAGGCTCATCACCATTTGCTATAAGAGGAGATAGGAACAATAACCATCAGGATGTACGTTTCAATGCCAATCCCACTTTTTACATCCTCTATCAAATATATCAGGAAATCAATGTGAGGTTACCTCACCAAAAACATAAGGTTCGTGTTTAATGATGTGTAGACTACTGCTGAAGCTTTGACATGCGTGGTTTAAAACTACATGTAGCCACTGAGTAAGTAAGTTATAAAACCTATTCCATCTTTTTCTGCAAGCCTGTACCTGCTTTATGCACCTCAGCCGGCTGTAAAATTTGGCATTTTATCCCGGGGGTTTACAAGAACTGACTCATATTTGGAGCCGAAGTTAGGGAAAGTCTAATTTTTCATTAGAACAAATCTGCTCTCTGCTTTATTTTCTTCAGCTCTGAAGCTCACTGAGGCTCATGAATTTTGACAATTTGCACTTTTTAAAAAGCAGGAATAAACAATAATCAGTGTAAACAACTCCACAGTCGAAGCTGAATATTGTGTACACACCAGTCAATTTAAACTTAACCAGATTTCCTATAATCAAATCTCCCCACAGAGCAGAATTTAGACATTTTAGGGTCAAAACCAAAAACTCTGAGTGGTGATTATAGATTTATGAGCCTTGGTTTAAACTCTTAAAGCCATTTCTCAATCAAAGTATCTTGTGTTGGGAAGAATTCATTTCTTGCCTATTCAATTTCTGAATGGTCGTGCTCTTTAGCGACATTAGCAGTTAAATCTGAGCACCCAGAAACCATGCTTAAAGGCAGAATGACTTCTGCACGTTTACTTTAAAGGACAGCAGGCTGCTTTTCAATGCTGAACCTGGTGGTGCAGTCCATCCCCGCCTGCTGAGCCAGAGGTTTTAAAAAGACATCCGACAGCATTAGAGGGGAACGGTGAGAAAAGCTCAGTGTGAGTGAAACGCCAGCAGCAAGCAGAGAAGAACTAACAGTGTTCAATTGATTTTCTTTTTTTTTTTTCACAATAGTGTAGGGGTGTAAATCACATCCATCATGGCGATTCGATTCAGTATCGATTTCCTGACCCAACGATTCGATTATTTTCGATACTTAAGAATACACCACGATTCGATTCGATTAATCGATTAATCGGTTAATTTTTTTTTTATTATTATTATTATTTTTTTTTTACACCTTACAGGCTAAACAAAGTTTCAAGTTTGAAATAAATCAATGAAAGCTGTAATATCGTTATGCATTTTCTTTAGAAACAACAGCAAATAACAGAAGTAGAAAAGCTGCATCAAAAAATACTGCAAAAATACTGCACAATATCAGTGTAATGAGTTCAATGCAACACCTCGGCTCCAAAGAAACTGTCCAACATATTTTTTTAGAATTTAATAAATATACTCAGGAAAGAGAGATGTTGTGTAGAGAGTTAGACAGGAATAAAAGTAAACTAGATATAAGGGAATTGTTTCAAAGGTCATCTGGGGATGTAGTTTTTGGTAGTATTTTTAATTTTCTAAGAAGAACGGGTATTTTAGGGAGAATATAATAGTTTGTCTGGTCCATACTCCATTCTGGAAGGTGGCGGTAATGCACCTATAAGTTGTTTGCCAACCGCCATTAAAAAAAAGAAGAAGAAGAAGGCTCCAGAGTGTTGACGTCACCGACCCCTTGAGAGACGCTCCGCTGCTCCTCTTCCAGATTGTAGCTGACAGCAAACAGTGCACCAGACAGGAGGGCGGCTTGTTTTGTTTTTATGACCGAAATTGCGGAAAACAACTCGTGAAGTTTGACCCGCTAGAAGAGCGAGGTGCGCGAGAACGCTGGGAGCCTTTTTCCAGCTGAATCTCCGCTCTTTTTGCCCCATTGTCCCTCCGTCGTCGGACTAAACTCGCCCCCACTTCCTCGCCGCCTCGGCCGTATCTAGACCCACAGCGTGTAGCTCAGACCACGCTGCAATATTGAGCATAATTTAAAAATGTCTGTGTGAAGCTTGCTGCAACAAACTGCTGTAAGAGTATAACCAGGAAGCGCGGTAGGAGGGCAAAATAAGTTTAGCGGCACCGCAGGGAGGGAGGAGAGTTACGCCCAGGAGAAAATGGATAAAAATAGACCGGAGGGAAAAAAAAAAAACATTAATCGATTATCTTGCGGACGTGTCGATGCATCGGATCGTCGGCTTTTGGATCGATGCATCGATACAAAACGATTATTATTTACACCCCTACAATAGTGGGGTGAGGAAATTGCTTTTAATTCCTACTTAGTCTCGCCTAGGGATGGGGATCGTTAATATTTATTGATATCGATACCTTTATCGATACTCCTTATCGATCCGAGTCTTTATCGATACCACTATCGATACTTTTCTGTTATTTGGTGGAAAGACGATGCAAAAATATTTTTTAACAGAACTAGTTAAATACACCTGAAACTAAATCTAGCAGTTGAATTAATGAATATATAACATGGATAGCACTGTAATAACTCCTATTGATGACTCTGGTAGTGCAGGAAGGACAGCCGGCTACTTTTGGGTGTGTTGTATGCTTCACTTATTGGTCGGCTGTATCAGTTTGAAATAGGACTTTACTACTTTGCCAAAAATCAAAAAACTATTTTATTTAACAAAAATGGGAATTATATTTTTCTTTGCTGTTGTTGCTGATGTTTCCCTCCAGAGTTTGTTTTCAGGACCTTGAAAGCTTATTTTTCCACAATCTGTTGTGCATTAGTTACTGTTGTGGGATACAATTCTCACTTCTATGTAGCCTGTGTGGATATGTGCACCAACAGCTATTCTCTGGTGGCAAACATGATTTTAAAAGGGTTGAAGCGAGAAAGTATGTGCCTCAATATTGTTAAATGTAATCTATTCAAAACTGAGTGTCTCTGCGATTTGAAAATTTAATTTTGGTAAATTTGCGATTATAGTCGTGATAAATAACAAAGCCCTAGTTTAGAACTAAAAATCGTGAGTAGAGTTACTTTTTTAAGGTAAATGTGTGAAAAAAAAATTTAAAGTTAAATGGACATATAAGTGAAAACATAAAATTCGTTATAGTTCAAACAGACATATAAGGTCCATGACTCCAAGGACGTTAATCCAGGGTGTTAAACCAAAAAAAACAACACTTAATCAATACAAGGCCTTTTAAAATCATCGCCTCGCTTGCTGTATTTTTAAAAAAAATTAAAAACTAAGTACTGAAGTACTGACAAAAAGTAAGGATACAGATATATTCATGGTTTAAAATTACATCTAACTGTCTGAAGTCAGTTTTTATCAGACTTTATACACATAAGCCAGAGTTTAAAGCCCAATATTTGTTATTATACGTATACAACCAATGTATACGTTTACAAAAAATAGTTGATTTTTAGGATATTTTATTGTTTACTAATATTTGCTCTAACACAAATAGATGAGATTATTGTTAATTTTATTCAGCACAACAAAACGGTGATGTTCTCTTCCAGTCTTTAATTTTTTTATGTTTTTACTGGGCTTGATGTCGGTGCATCACTTGACAGTATTTATTGTGTTAGAAGCCCCACAAATGCAAACAGCCACAACTTTGCTGTGAGCAGAAAATCACAAGACTGCACTGAATAAAAACAAAAAGGTATGAAGTTAGCTTTTTCCCATCCTGTTCACAAAGGCAGTCCAAGCATTGCACACCCAAACAAAACAACAACAAACTAAGCATGACGATTTTATGGGTTGGAATAAGTAAAAAAAGAAAAAAATCTTCAACCCACAAAGGATTTTATTCTAACTGGATACAAGGCTGAGAACCAAACTCCCACGGGACAGTTGGATGCAGCAGCTTCAGCTATAGCACCGAAAAGAAGAAATAAATAAGATCCCTCGCTTTCGGCTTAGAGAACAGACGGAGGGAGCACCATATATAATTTAATTAATTAGTTCAATTACATTAGTTAAGTGTCATAAAAATAAGTTCAACATTTTGATTACCCACCACCCACAACCTGAATTTCTGAATTCACAAAGTGAAATCAGCCTGACACAAACCAAGACCTTCAACTTTAAACCTATTTAAACCTCCCCCCTCATGACAACCCATGCAGGACAGTAAGGGACTTCCATAATACAGCTGTGTACTCTTAGAAATATAAATCTTTTACATGCGACAAAATAATTAGACTGTGGCTTGATTAACCCGTATCAAACATTGCCCCAGTTTGCAGTGAACAATTTTCACATAACTCCTGTGATTTGCATTCAGTTGACATTTCAAGACGCCATATATATTATAGGCGTGGGTTATTTTCTGTCACCCAACCACAGCAGCTGCTTTATAGAAAAGAAAGTTAAAAAAAATAGGATTTAAAAAAAGAAAAAAACCTTCCACTTTTCAAAATAAGGAAGACACTGCCTGTAAGTGAAAACCACTTTGTTTATTTTTAGTGTTGTTTCTTTCTAAATGAACATGGAGGTCAGATAAATGAAATATCAAATTGTAACGTTAAGTTTATGCTACAAGGTAAGTAGTCCGGACCGTACATACAAGCTGTTCTTGTTCTTGTTCTCATTCTTTCAATTTCTGTGAAGGTGACAAATTCTCAAGATGCTGATGTTAAAAAAAGAAACCAAAAAGGAACTAATAAAAACACGGAAAGTGGAGCTTCATGCACTTTGCTGCGACCATTATCCTAGGAAATGTCAACTTATTTTTATCTAGAGTGCCCCAGGTGTAAACGCACCTCTCACTCCAGTTCAACCACAGAACTGAGCTGTGCAATTAAAACCAGAGCTCGCCAATAATACCAGGAAATATGAGCACAACAGAAACCCCCAAACGTGTTGCAGTTTACTGTAAAACATGTTCTACTTTCACTCTGTGAGAGGGCAGCAAAACGGTTTCTGTTCTGCAAACCGGCACGACATTTTCAACTGGAGTCATCCACAACACCAGTCTGACTAAGATTTTAATTCATAGGGTAGGGCAGAAGAAATGTACAGAAGAGGATTAGGGCCCTTAAGAAAAAAAAGCCAATTTAATTACGA